TGATCAGCTCGTCGCAAGGCCTGTTTCACGTCCTACACATATATTATTCAGATTATCCCCATTTAACTCGCTTGGATTTTGTAACCACTGCAGTTTGGCTTGTTTCCTTTGGTCTAATAATTTTGAGCATCCTTCATAGAACCATGGCTCATGCTTCTTCAGTTCACAATAACCTAGACTCTCCTTGGCAGAAATACTGACCAGTACCACCAGGTAGTGGTCAGTATCACAATCTGCTGTCCTCAACGATCGGACATCAAGTATACTTGAATGGCGTCTCCTATTTATCAAAATATGATCAATTTGATTGTGCGTCTTTCCATCAGGAGATGTCCAAGTAAATTTGTGGATGTTATGATGTGGGAACATTGTACTTTTGACAGTAAGATTTTCTGATGTGGCAGGCTACTACTCTTAACTCCATTATCGGAACTAATTTCGTGCGAACTCGTTCCCAATTGTTGGTTTGAAAATGTCTTCCCTNTGCTTCTTCAGTTCACAATAACCTAGACTCTCCTTGGCAGAAATACTGACCAGTACCACCAGGTAGTGGTCAGTATCACAATCTGCTGTCCTCAACGATCGGACATCAAGTATACTTGAATGGCGTCTCCTATTTATCAAATAAGGCATCATATCCCACAAAATAGTACTTTGCATAGAAAACGCTGTGAGAACCTCAATCCAAAATTTTGTTTCGCTATCTTGTTCCTCTCTCTCGAAGTTAATATAATGTCTACGTTACGGGCAGGATGACCGGGATATCAGGGTTCAAGACCCGGCAAAGGCAGAGGTGTTTCTGTTCTCCCAATCGTCCAGACTGGCCCTGAGTCCCATCCAAGGATCGGGAAGTGAAGCTGCTGTCCTGAGCCAGGTTAATCCATTCTATATCGTCCCATCCTATGTCCTTTAAATCAGTTTAAATATTACACTTTTATCTGTGTCTAGATCTTCCTATTGTACTCTTTCCTTCAGATTTTCATACCAAAATTTTGTAAGCATTTGTCATATCATCCATGCATGCAGAATTCCTTGCCATCTGAAACAGGACCAGCAATACATCTCTGAGATGCGAGATTTTTGAGATGATGTTTTTGTGGGTGTATAGTAAGCCATTCCGTTTGGAAGGAAATAAAAAAATGCAAGGCACGATGTTTTGGAAACCCAAACCGCCCCTCATGAGAGCCATGAGGGTCGAGTGTCCCCAGCCTCCGTTTCGGGTTGCACTGTTGCCATATTAGCCACCTGTTTCTCCCATCTGCAGTTTCTTTCTTTTCTTTGCGGACAGAATAACGGTGGTCTCCACCGACCCCCACCTTGCAGTTGGGGAGGATGGTGAAATCAGTTACTGACTAACAAACAGAGACTTGCTTGAAGAACTAGTAACAGCGCAGCCAGCCAAGACATTCTTGGTATTGTCTGGAAGGCGAAGATTCATTACAGTGTTCACAAAAGGTCGCCACTGGATCCTAGCTTGAGAGAAACAGATGCGTGTCCTCAGACCACTTTTGCCTACTGTCCGAAAATGAAGAATATTCAAGGGGAAATTTTGACAATTCCCAGGGCCATATTGCGGCTGGAAGTATTAGGTCAGTTGTAAAATCCAATGACCTCATCGGAACCCACGACCTTCCGGCTTGTAGCATGGTGCGTGCCCCCCCCCCAATATTTTTCTAATAAGAAATTACACATTCCAAGAAGTCGCAAATGTCACTTGACCTCGGTCAACCACAATATTCTCTGTAACATATTTTCCTTATTTCGGAAGGAAAGACAAGCCTGTGGTATTACCGTGGATCTGAATGTCAACATTGAAAATGATACTGACGTCATCCTTCAAGAGACGACCCAACACATTTCCAGTCTTTGTCCTTATTACGAGAATAGCGGCCATTTCGTCCCAATGACCATAGAGTCATCTGATGAGAGACCCGGAAGATGGGCTTGCTCATACACGTAGTATATACGAGAGAGCACTGTGATCTGTAGGAGCCGGGATAGCGCAGTCGGTATAGCGAATGGCTACTGACTGAACGCCCGAAGAGTCGGAGTTCCAGTCCCGGTAGGGTCAAAATTTTTCTCTTCTCCACGTCGTCCAGACCGGCTGAGGCCCACCCAGAGTACCAGGGCTCTTTCCGCGGAAGCAAAGCAGCCGGGGCGTGAAGTTGTCCACTCACCTCCAACTAATGCCGAGGTAAAGAAAATGTGGAGCTATACATGCATTCCCCATACGTCTTCATGGCGTAGTGCTTAATTAGTTGACCACAGGGGCAACTTTACGTTTTTACTGTGGTCCTGTAAAACGCCACATCCCCAGTCTGTCTGAATACGAAGTGGCGGCTTTTGATATGCCGTCTGTTTATGCAGAGAGGCGTTGCAAGGCTCCTAGACTCTAAGACCGTAAAATTTGGTCATAATACCCGCTGGACCCGGAGCCAAAATGTCCGTGCTGGCGAGGACCAGCGGCAATTCACCCGACTGTCTGTCTATGTATATGGATTTGCGCCCCGCTAGCACACGAACGGATGAGTGGATTTTCTTCTTATTTTGTACTTAAAGAGTTTGTACTTCATATGTCTGTGCGCGGTGGTTATGAAAAGATTTTTCTGTTCTCCACAGCGTCTAGTCCGGTTCTGCAGCCCTCCCAGCTGCGGCGGCACTTTCTACGTGGCCGGAACGTGAAGCTGTCCAATCACTTCTTCATTCGCACTATACGGAGATAAGTGGTCATTTTCGTCTTAAGAATATACAGGCTCCGAATGCTTGGAACTGTACCTCAGTTCCTTGGTAGGTGCTTTAGTGCGTAGAGAACCAGTTGTGACTGTACCCTCTAGCCGATTATTGTAATTATGTTTATTTCTGCCACAATTTCCAAGAAATTTCTTAGTATCTGTCACGTCCACATTCGGCATTTTCCGTCTCGAGATTTATCTTGTAGCGTACTGTCTTCCGGGATGTGACACGGTGTAGTTTGGTAGATATTTTCCAACGTTTCGGAGAAACCCTCAGCTTCTCTCTGCAGGGGACTACGTTCTGTATCCCAGGAAATACTGATTCTCGTAGTCACCGCCAGGAGAACCCCAGCCCTCGCACCTGATTACCTCATGACCTCGCTGTACCCTGTGTCGGTGTAGGGCGCAAGGAATGACCGGGTCAAGGAAAGCATGCACACACAGAAACACTGATCAAGGTGGCTCAAGCAGAACTTGTATTCGGGAAGTGCTCGGATCTCGGCCTGAACACAGGCTTTCTTGACTGAGGATTTTCGTAATTTTCCTCAATTCCTCCTGGAAAATTACAGGCCAATACCCCGTTCTTCCAAATACCTTCCAGTCCATTGATGACCAGTCCCCTTTCCATTCTCCACTATATAACCTGAGCTATAAACAGCGTCTTAAAATGAGCGACAAAGCGGACTGATTTTCGTGGAATTGTTTAGTGCGTGGAAAATGTTTTTCCTTCTTGGTGATTAATTTGTTTTGCGGAAGTAGGGACGCTCCTGGTGGCCACAATTGCTTCCTGTAACTTCATCCGCTTGGTGATATTACGTTGCAGTAGCTGTTCTTGGAAGTGCATCACTTTCCTGTGGTTTCCCTCTGCCTATCATTAACTGAATTAGGACTTTATCACTGTGAGGATGGGATGTGGTTACAACTGTTGGGCTCCTTCCTAGCACATGAGCTGGACAGCGAGGCCCCGGTACCCACCCACTCTGCCCTACCCTTAGGTTAGAAAGATAGCTTCTGTAGCTGGGATTGGCACTATTACGATGGCATGTCTGTTGTTTTCTAGGCGTTATTGTTCGTAACGTAATTAGTAAAGTCTGAAGAATTCTGGTCGGTTGTAACGCCGTGCAGTTCGGAGAAAGCCTGACGTTTCGGAGGAACATATCGCCTCAATATTCAGAATCGAAAAATTACATGAGCTTGCCGCATACTTCTGGTAGTTTCTTTCCTTAAAAGCCGCTGAAAACGGTGGCGGTATGTGTTTCGGAAACGTCGGGATGTCTCCGATTACGTGGGTGTAGAACCCAGAAGTCCGTAATCCTAATACTCACCTTCTGCGGATCCTCAGCAAACGAGTGTGGTGCTTGTGCTTAATTATTCTGTTCACTGTTTAGTAACGGCGTCAGAACAGGGACAGTACAACAAAATGTTCGAGACAGCTATTTCGGAATTCTAAATCTCTAGCATGTCTTATGAAATAAAGTTGCACAACATCTAAATAATTTTAATTATCTTTAAACGTTTAAAAATTTGTTTATTTCGAATAACGAAAATATTAAAACAATAATAGAGAATTTTCAGAAAATCAGACATTTTAAAAAACGAAGTCCCAAAATCTTTAAATTTCCGAAAAATTGAAAGCTTCTGGAATTTAGTTGTTCATGTTTTCCAAAGTGTGAATAATTTGAACATCTGATTAGAGATTTCAAGAGTATCAGTAATCAGCAAAGAGTTCAAAATTACAAGGCTCAATTTCGTAGTCTGATTGATATGAAGTGGTGTGATGCGTCAATATAATCATCATAACAGATCCTAACCTAACCTAACCTATCCGCACGCAACTGTGCCAGTAGCAGCTAGTGGCAGCGCAGTGGTCTGTTGGGCAAACCCAATCTAGCCTATTCTAACAACCTAACATTGCTCAATCTCACCAGTTGCTGCCCCATTAGAAGGGAGGTGCGCAGTTAAATGCGCAGTGGCATGCTGCTGGACGTTCATTGCTAGAATTGTCTCCCACATCAGAAGTTCGTGCTTCCATCTCTTCTTTATTAGTAATTTTCAGTTGTTGAAAACTATGACGTTAGGATGACCTTGAATGGCATATTGTTCATCCCGAGTTTCGTGATACTCGGGCAAGTGATTCAGAATCTACGTCTGAGACAGTTAAAATAGGCATTACCTCATAGCTCTATTACAAATGGCGTAGATAAATTTAGTTGGAAAATATGTCCGCAGAAATTATGTGCAGCTAATATTTGATTTGTTAATTGATATTTGGTTCTAAGGTAAATATTATACTGTGCAACTACAAGCTGGGAATTTCCCGATGCAGATGTTGGTATCCACTGATACTCAAGATGGATGACATGAATTCATAACAGAGAAACTGCAGATCGTTTCAATAGTTTTATTGAATTTTGAGTATGTAGACAGTATGAATACTGATGGACGTGTTCGCATTAATGTTAAATCTTATCGTAGTATATTACTTTCTTTGAAATACACGTTTTAAAGAATACAACACGTGTTTCGTTCTGTGCAATGGTAGTGTGTTTAAATAGTCTGTAATACGTAATATATTTGTGATTTATAAGATATTCCGTGTTTTCCCACACAACGTCATGGAGTTAGTCATGCAAGTATGAGTGGTGTGTTGTAGTGTTCTTGATCATGATAGAAATATATCAGGGAATCGAACGAAAAACAAGAAGGTTTTGTAGAGATGACTACATGCAACTCTAAGTCACGCGTGTTGAAATGTGAGGAGTGTGTGAAGCGATGTGTAAATGTGCCCAACAGCGAACAATTTTGAACAGCCCTAACCCAACCCACAGTATGTATAGGAAACTTGCCCCAACAACCCTGGGTGAATGTGGCGGAGCCCCAGTGACAAAATTATTTGTATAGCGAAATATGTTAAATTGTGGGAATTTTAAATGATTATAGTGTGTTATTAAGTTAGTCCGCCACACATCTCATACGATCTGAACTGGAATCGAACCCTAGCCGCCCTGCGATTGGAAGCCTGCGAGTGGCTGAGCTATGACATTCATCTATGCGGAATTAATGAAGCCCCATGCCATGAAGGCGTGTAGGGAACGGAAGTAAAGCTCCACCATCTCTAACCTGCGCTGGAGGTGAGTGGTGAGTTTCACTCCCCATTATTATTATTATTATTATTATTATTATTGTTGTTGTTGTTATTATTATTATTATTATTAGAGGAGGTGGGTTTCCCCATGCACGTAGACCAGTTATTGGTCCATTGTGCGTCCCCCTTTTAATTTCTACTGTCGCCATACCCTACCGGCACTGGTGCGTGCTATCAGCCCCGTTCAGTCAACGAGGTCGGCCGTCGGTACCTGATATTTCCCCCATCTACCAGAGGCACTGGAAACTACTTGGGTGGGAAATTGTTGCCTAATTTTGCTCAGAGGTCTCCTAGAGACATGAGGATCTTTTACGTGCCGTAAATCTACGACACGGGACCCATGGCTTAAAGTCCCTCCCGGAGGACTTGTTCCCTGAATTTTTCCGCCCTTAAAAATTCCACGACCTCCACCGGGTTTGATCCCGCGTACCTTGAGTCATGAGGTGGGAACGTTACCCCTAGACTACTACGAAACGTCGTTTTACACAATATCTACACGGCGCCAGATCCCAGAAGACGGCATTCTTCATAGTCACCGCCGTGAAAACCTCAAATCTTACAGAAGAATCTCTGACTCCTGTCGGGAATTGAACCCCGGTTTCTCGGTCATCTAACCCAGTGCCTAGTGGGCGCTTCGTATATACGAGGTCTGGTGCTCTCGCAGCTGGCTGTGTACGTAAGTAAGAGCTCGGGGTCACATTTACTGCCTGTTTTTAGCCCACTTTCTTCAGGAAAGAAAATAGGCTTGTGAGATCAGTATGGTGCCTGTATATGTCTCTTTTTTTAGATGATTATACCAGCCGACTGATTTTCACGAAACTTTGTTTCAACATAATGTCATCAGTGTCCATTCCACTGTTGCACTTCCTGTTTTCATACACTCAATAACAATAAGTCGGACGAGCGAACTTATGAGGTGTGGAAGGGCCTGAAATGGTGTATGGCGAAAGACTCTATGAGTATGGATAGTCACGAGGTTGTGTTGCATGTACAGTAAATCACGCAAAGTTGCGGCCGCGCTGAACTGTTATTTATCTTTGCGTTTATGGCAATAACTAACGAAACATTGGAACCAGACATCTGGAATTTGGTAATTAAATAGACCATAAACTTATCTACAAACTGTGTGAAATATTTGTAAGTCAACAAGTACAAATATGGCAACAGTGCGAAACGTTGAGGTTATGTCCAACAAAGTGAAGGTAGACCGAATCTGTGCATTAATATAATAATACCAGGTGTACATGAGATAGGCAAGACAAGAAGCACGCACGGGAGAGAAATGTATATACAGTTTCAGTGGGAGGACCTCAAAGAGAGAGACGATGGAGGAAACCTACTCATAGATGGGAATGAAGATTGGCACGGGAAACCGAAGTACTCGGAGAAAACCCGCCCCAGCGCCACTCCGTCCACCACAAATTCCACTTGACCAGTCCCGGAATCGAACCCGGCCCGCCACGGTGGGAAGCCAGCGACTAACCGCTTGAGCTATGGCCCGGCCTTAGTCATAGATGGGAGGTTAATTATGAAATATTAGGATAGGATCTGGCTCAGGATAGGAACCAGTGGCGGGATGCTGTGAACACGGCGATGAATCTTACGGTACGACTTAACACCAAGAATTTCTTGACTAGCTGAGTGACTACCAGTATATTAGGCGTGCACTAAGGTTTCCCTACAACAAGATACTGAGTGTACCGGCTAGATAGTACCCTTTGTTTGGGGGGGGGAACAAAACAAATGCACTCACCGTACAACCTGTTGCGCAATGTCATGTTACGTCATGCGTGTGAGGGAATCCTCATGCGATGTGGCAACGTCGCGTCTGTTTCCCATCCACTACAATTACCCGTCAATAATTCGGTTGCACCTAACTTGACATCCGACATACCATCCCGTGTAACAGTGCGGAATAAGATAAGGAAGTGAGTACAGTGTCTGCACTACAGACAGATACTAGTTGTTTAACGACGCTGTTAGTAGCATACGTGTATGACGCGGTGTTGACAGTCAGGATAATTCAGTCGGTATAGCGACGGACTGGACGGCCAGGGTTCGATTCCCGGCGTATATTTTACTCTACTCCCATCCAGTGGGTACTGTGGTCTCATTCCCTGGGGACAAAGCGGCAGGGGCGTGAAGCTGACCACTCACATCTAGTGCTGAGGTCAAGAATGGTGGAGCTATACCTCTCCTCACTCTTACGTCTTCATGGCGTAGCGCTTTAACTTTAATGACAGGGTGTTAATGAATAGTGAGGTTTTCTCTGAGCACTTCGGTTTCCCCTGCCAATCTTCATTCCACAAATTGCTCCACAATCACCCTCATCTATCATCTGGGGCGGGGACAATAGGCCAGAAGTGGCCGCAGTACAAGGGACTTAGTCCCACCCCACTAGCAATAAAAAAATGAATAGTGATTTGGAAATGATTTGGAAGGAGCCGGTTTTAATCTAAGTTTAGGTATTATTTCGCTTTTTGCCTGGAGGGACTAACGACAACCACGAAAAACATCGTCGAGGGTACTCGGTGTCTTGAACGAGATTAAAATCGAGAGCCTACCGAATTAAAGTGAGAAACGTCACTCCTGGATTATTGCAGAATGTTGGTTCGATTCCCGGCATGGTAAGAGGATGTTTCCATTGTCCGCAGCTTCCAGACGTGCTCTGGGACACGCCCAGCCTCCATGTTGGATAGTGTTCTGGTTGGTTTCCCTCCCCCCCTCCAAGTTTCACGAGAAAGTGAACGAGGTTTAGCCACGGCTACTAACGTGGGCGTGAAAGCAACAGTTTATGAGTAAATAAAACTGATTTAGACGGGGCTTGGATTGCTAATCGGATTTACTGAAAGCTAAAACAACTCGTGGCTACATATCACTACCACATAAAAGACTACTCAGTCGCGGTCTTCACTGCTCTGCTTGGTGACATCTCTAATTGGACGTTCTTTTGCTCCAGGACTCACGTCCTCGCAGGCTGACGGCCATCTCACACGAACCTCCTACTCTTCTGTTGTCACAGGGCTCTCACGTAATCGAAGTCAAAGTCACATTGCTAATGGCGTTCAGTCAGCCAGTAAGTCTTAGTGTCAAGCTCCATCTGGGGCTCATGACCAGATATTTATCGCTGTTTGAAGGTTTATCTTTTGTGTGGGGGGCCCTCTCTGACGAGAGGACGAGTATATCTTTTGTATATGCTACTGGGCCTTGCCAGCGCAGTCTTTCTCGGGTCTGAGTCCCTTGGTACTCGCTACCATATTTTACTGTCTCAGATTTGAGACTTCCCTTTTCGTCGCCTCCCACGACTCAAAGTCACATTGCGACTGACGGTCAGTCAGTCAGTCTTGGTGTCGAGCCCAATCTGGGGCTTACAACCAGATATTTATTACAGTTTGACAGTTTCGGTCTTGTTTTGTGGGGCGCCCTCTCTTACGAGAGGACGGGTATGTCTTTTGTCAGGGTCATTGTCTGCAGTAGTAAGTCAGTTGTCGCAATGTAAAGGATATTTACATGTTAAACATGTCCGTAAATGTATATAACATACATACAGGGCCTCTGTCAGTCCAGACTCAGTACAGCAGATTATGCCCTATTTCTAGTAGCATCCGCTACAACGGCAGTCTAGTCACTTGAACGATCGTATGCTTGACCGCCCCAAAGTTTAAGCCTCTTATACTTTCTATGTCGGGCTTCTCCTTGTCCAATATTTTTTGATCCATGACTCGCAGGGTCACGGTGGATGTATTCGACCCCACCAACTGGTCTTCGTTATATAGTGTCGGCACGGACTTCACAGAAAACACCACTTCCAACAGTTACTCCACTGTTGCGTGATACACAGCCATTACCTAGCAATGACTGTTTCTCTGGCTCCACAGTTCCTGCTTTGAGCATATATGCCACAGTAGTGTATTATGTATGTCTTGTATGACATGTGTTCTTGGGGTGCTGCTGTGCAGCAGTGGAAAATGATTGAAGCGAGGGACAATAATAACAGCAGCAATTTCTGATTTAGCCTTTGTGCTCCTGAGGACCGGATGTACTCCGCAACACGCCAAGCGCCAGGCCATAGAGGAAGCTCCAAACTTAAATGTGCTGCCTGTCAGGGCTGTTGCCCATCTCGGTGAGGGTGGGGGGGGCGGTGAAGGATGAATACGGAGCAAGGGGAAGCTGGAACACGTGCTCCCGTGCCATGAAGTGGAGACTACCCGTTGTCAGCGCCTCCTGACGTAGTGACGTCGCCTCAGACGGGATCAAGTGAAGTCTCTGCCGGGAGGGAATGGTTGGAGAGATCTGGTATTAAGTGCAACCGGAGTTCTGATTGTGGAAGTCTCCATCTTGGTTTTGTTCCCCTTACCAAAACTAACTTTCGAACACTCGCTGAGGTTATCCACAGTACAAGACCGCTGTGTGAGTGAGATGATCAGCACAGGGTGTTTCGCAGGAAGATACATTAGTGTTTAGTGTTGCTGCGCGGAAGTTAGTCACCCAGTTGTTTCGAATAGGCTTATGGAGATAGAAACTGCTGATATATTATTTATAGGTGTGTGGCAGTGGCTGATTCATTATGCGAATATTTTGTCTGAATTTTGTGGCAGTGGCAGGTCCGAGTATTTGTGCCACTTCTTTGTTTATTATGCGTGAATCATGAACAGGCATCTCATCTGATGACGTAATAAATCCGTTATCCAAACCGCTGTATATGAACACATGCTCCAGACAAAGGACAATGTTCAAAATAATTTTATTGTAAAACTGTACCAGTTATATGCCCAAATGCACCCTGTTACAGGATCTCCGAAACAGTTTACCGTCGAATGCTTTGAGCCCCCCACAATTGCTTGCTCATGAAGCTGAGCCCGATCAAACCAATCCATCCCATCCCATCATATCTCTCTTAAATCCATTTTAATATTGTCCACCCACATGTCTTGGTCGTCCTAGCGGTCTCTTTCCTTCTGGCTTTTCCACCAGTATCCCATATGCATTTATC